TCAGAGACCTCTGGGACAATGATAAACACCCCAACATTTGAATGATAGGTCTCCCAGAAGAAGACAAAAAGAATGGGCATGAGAAAATACTTGAGGAGATAATATTTGAAAATTTCCCTAAAATGAGGAAGGAAATAGCCACCCAAGTTCAACAAACTCAGAGAGTCACAAACAGGATAAACTCAAGGTGGAACACCCAAAGACACATATTAATCAAATTAACAATGATCAAACACAAAGAGCAAATAATAAAAGCAGCAAGGGAAAACCAACAAATAACACAGAAGGGGATCCTCATAAGGATAACACTTGATCTTTCAACAGAAACTCTTCATACCAGAAGGGAATGGCAGGACATACTTAAAGTGATGAAAGAGAAAAATCTTCAACCAAGAGTACTATACCCAGCCAGGATCTCATTCAGATACGAAGGAGAAATCAAAACCTTTACTGACAAGCAAAAAATAAGAATTCAGGACCACCAATCTAGCTCTTCAACAAATGCTAAAGGATATTTTCTAGACAGGAAACATAGTAAAGGTTTATAAAAATGAACCCAAAACAACAAAGTAAATGGTAACAGGATCAGACTTATCAATGATTACCTTGAATGTAAATAGGTTAAATGCTCCAACCAAAAGACAAAGACTGGCCAAATGGATACAAAAACAAGACCCTAATATATGCTGTCTATAAGAGATGCACCTCAAACCTAGGGACACATACAGACTGAAAGGGAAGGGCTGAAGAAAGATATTTAATGCAAATGGAGACCAAAGGAAAGCAGGAGTAGCAACCCGCATATCAGATAAAAGAGACTTTGAAATAAAGACCGTGATAAGTGACAAAGAAAGATACTACCTAATGATCAAAGGATCAATGCAAGAAGATATAACAATTATAAATATATGTGCGCCCCACATAGAAGCAGCACAATACATAGTTCAGTTCAGTTCAGTTCAGTCGCTCAGTCGTGTCCAACTCTTTGCAACCCCCCATGAATTGCAGCATGCCAGGCCTCCCTGTCCATCACCAACTCCTGGAGTTTACTCAAACTCATGCCCATCGAGTCGGTGATGCCATCCAGCCATCTCATCCTCTATCATCCCCTTCTCCTCCTGCCCCCAACCTCCCCCAGAATCAGGGTCTTTTCCAATGAGTCAACTTCGCATTAGGTGGCCAAAGTAATGGAGTTTCAGCTTCAGCATCAGTCCTTCCAATGAACACCCAGGACTGATCTCCTTTAGGATGGACTGGTTGGATTTCCTTGCAGTCCAAGGGACTCTCAAGAGTCTTCGCCAACACCACAGTTCAAAAGCTTCGATATTTCAGCACTCAGCTTTCTTCACAGTCCAACTCTCACATCCATACATGACCACTGGAAAAACCATAGCCTTGACTAGATGGACTTTTGTTGGCAAAGTAATGTCTCTGCTTTTCAATATGCATAAGACAGATGCTTAACAACTATGAAAGGGGAAACGAATAATAACAAGATAATAGTGGAGAACTTAAATACCCTACTCACACCTATGGATAGATCAACCAAACAGAAAATTAGCAAGGAAACACAAGCTTTAAATGATAAAATGGACCAGTTAGACTTAATATAGATATTTATATATAATAATATTTATAATATATAATATTAATATATTAATATAATATTAATATATACTAACATATGATATATAGTAATATATAAAACATATATTAATAAATATAATTATATGTATTTTATACAGGACATTTCACCCCCAAAATATGGATCTCACCTTTTTCTCAAGTGCACATGGGACATTCTCCAGGATAGAGCACATCCTGGACCATAAATCTAGCATGGTAAATTTGAAAATGGAAATTATTTCAAGCATCTTTTCTGATCACAATGCAGTTAAGATTAGATTTCAACAACAGGAAAAATACTACTAAAAATAAAAATATATGGAAGATAAGAAACACGCTTCTGAATAACCAACAGATCACAAAACAAATCAAACTGAAAATCAAAATATACATAGAAACAAATGAAAATACAACAATCCAAAACCCTATGGGATTCAGTGAAAGCAGTGCTAAGAGAGGTGTTCATAGCAATACATGCCTACCTCACGACACAAGAGACACATCAAATAAGAACACTAAAGGCCAATATCACTGATAAACATGGATGCAAAAATGTTCAACAAAATTCTAGCCTACAGAATCTAAAACCATATTAAAAAGATCATACATCATGATCAAGTGTGATTTATTCCAAGGATGCAAGGATTCATCAATATTTGCAAATCAATCAATGTGTTACACCATATTAACATATTGAAAGATACAAACCACATGATAAATCAGATTCAGACAAAGCCTTTAACAATACTGAACACCCATTTATGATGAAAACTCTCCAGAAAGCAGGCATAGAAGACACATACCTTAACATAATAAAAGCCATATATGACAAACCAATAGCAAACATTATCCTCAATGGGGAAAAACTGAAAGCATTTCCTCTAAAATCAGGAACAAGACAATTGTTCCCATTCTCACTACTACTTTTCAACAGAGTTTTGGAAGTCCCAGTCACAGCAATCAGAGAAGGAAAAGAAATAAAGGAATCCAGAATGGAAAGGAAGTAAAACTCTCCCTGTTTGCAGATGACATGATCCTCTACAGAGAAAACCGTAATGATGTCACCGAAAATTATCAGTGCTAATCAACAAATATAGTTAAGTTGCAGGATGTAAAATTAACACAGAGAAATCCCTTGCATTCTTATACAATCATAATGAAAAAAGAGAAAGAAAAATTAAGGAAACAATCCCATTTACCATTGCAACAAAAAAAAATGAAATACTTAGGAAAAAATTTACCTAAAGAACAAAAGACCTGTATATACAAAACTATAAAACACAGATGAAAAAAATCAAAGATGACACAAATAGATGGAGAAATATACCATGCTTGTGAGTTGGAAGAATAAATATGGTGAAAATTAGTATTCTGACCAAAGCAATCTATAGATTTAATGCAACCCCTATCAAGCTAGCAAAGATATTTTTCACAGAACTAAAACAAATAATTTCAAATTTGTATGGAAACATGAAAACCTCGGACAGTCAAAGCAATCGTGAGAAATAAGAATGGAACTGGAGGAATCAACCTGCCTGACTTCAAACTGTACTACAAAGCTACAGTCATCAAGCCAGTATGGTACTAGCACAAAGAAAGACATATAGATCAATGGAACAAAATACAAAGCCCAGAGATAAACCTACGCCCCTATGGACACCTTATCTTTGACAAAGGAGGCAAGAATATACAATAGAAAATAGACAATCTCTTTAACAAGTGGTGTTGGGAAAATTGGACAACCACTTGTAAAAGATGTCACTAAAACACTTTCTAAAACTATACAAAAAAATAAACTCAAAATGGATTAAAGATCTAAATATAAGACCAGAACTATAAAACTCTTAGAGGAAAATTTAGGCAGAACATGCTCTGACATTAATCACAGCAGGATCCTCTATGACCCACCTCCGAGAGTAGTGGAAATAAAAGCAAAAATAAACAAATGGGACCTAATTAAACTTAAAAGTTTATGCACAACTAAGGAAACTATAAGCAAGGTGAAAAGACAGCCTTCAGAATGGGAGAAAATAATAGCACACGAAGCACCTGACAAAGAATTAATCTCAAAAATATACAAGCAGCTCCTGCAGCTCAATTCTTGAAAAATAAACGATCCAATAAAAAATTGGGCCAAAGATCTAAACAGACGTTTCTCCAAAGAAGACATACAGATGGCTAACAAACACATGAAAAGATGCTCAACATCACTCATTATCAGAGAAATGCAAATCAGAACCACAATGAGGTACCATCTCACGCTGGTCAGAATGGCTACTATCAAAAAGTCTATAAACAATAAATGCTGGAGAGGGTGTGGAGAAAAAGGAACCCTCTTACACTGTTGGTGGGAATGCAAACTAGCACACCCACTATGGAGAAGTGTTCAGTTGAGTGCAGTTCCGTTCAGTTGCTCAGTAGTGTCTGACTCTTTGCAACCCCACGAATCACAGCATGCCAGGCCTCCCTCTCTGTCACAAACTCCCAGAGTGTGGAGATTCCTTAAAAAACTGGAAATAGAACTGCCGTATGACCCAGCAATCCCCGTGCTGGGCATATAAACCGGGGAAACCAAAATTGAAAGAGACACGTGTACCCCAATGTTCATCACGGCACTGTTTATAATAGCCATGTCATGGAAGCAACCTAGGTGGTCATCAGCAGACGAATAGATAAAGAAACTGTGGTACATATACATATACACAATGGAATATTACTCAGCTATTAAAAAGAATGCATTTGATTCAGTTCTAATGAGATGGATGAAACTGGATTCTATTATATAGACTGAAGTAAGTTAAAGAAAAACACCAATACAGTATATTAACACATATATGTGGAATTTAGAATGACCATAATGATGACCCTATATGCAAGACAGCAAAGGAGACACAGATGTAAAGAACAGACTTTTGGACTCTGTGGCAGAAGGCGAGGGTGGGATGATTTGAGAGAATAGCACTGAAACATGTATATTACCAAATATGAAATAGATCGCCAGTCCAGGTTTGATGCATGAGAGAGGGTGCTCAGGGCCGGTGCACTGAGACAACCCTGAGGGATAGAATGGGGAGGGAGGTGGGAGGGGGTTCAGAATGGAGAACACATGTACATCCATGGCTGATTCATGTCAATGTATGGTAATTATCCTCCAATTAAAATAAATAATAATAATAAAATAAAGATGAACATGAATTCATTAGGCTTCAGCCTACAAATTAGCAAGGGCCAAAGAGGGGAGGGGTGGGTTGAATAACAAATAGTATGTCTGAATATACTATATCTTAACTAAATTTCATTTTTGTCTTTCTAATTTTCATCTGTTATTCAAGTATCATTTTAAGAAGAGATAAGAAAACCAATGCCTATCTTACCTGCAGAAACACTGAGGGAGTTCTCCTTGACCATATAAAGGAAACAAAAATGGAGTGTTGCCATATCGCCCAAGACAGTGAAGAAAGTTTTTGGTAGCTTTGAGACCATCTATGGTACTGCTGCCTGTCTCTGATGTCATTGCAATTGAGTGCAGGACAAAATATTGGAGGTTGGGGGTTAATTTTTGAGTTTTTAAATATTCAGAAAATGTAATTTCCTCAAAGTCTATGGAAAGAAAGAGGAAAATTTATCAGTTAAAATCAGAACCAAACTTCCATTTAAAAGCACTGTACAAAAATGAGATCAAGTTTCCTTAAAACACTTAGCAAAGGACATAGTTGGTGGTAGTATTACTATATTTTGGACCAAGACCGTTGATTTTAGAGGGAAAAAACTAGGAACAACCTCACTACCCTAACTGGACTGATGACGCAATTTTTAAGCTTTAAATGATGATTCTGTCGTTAGTATTTTATGGATTCAAAAAATTAGAAAAGCATTAAATAATTCATTAACCATCACAATAGCTTTCCATGGTTGTCAATAATCATACTTTACTATCAACTGCAGACTAATGTCAGTGATTACACTTTGAAATATTAAGTATGACTAATGGTAACTTTTTGGTGAAAACAATGATATAGTAGTACTTGACTTTTTTGAATTGCTATTCTTTCCTAAAACTTGGAACAGTGAACTATGACTAAAAAGTAAAGAAACTAATTTCTGTATGGCTAGTGGTATCAATCCCACTGCCTTATAATCTCACCTCAAAACATAATGATCTCCTAAATACTATTACTTTAAACCAAGAACAGAAAAAAAAATGTAACTGAGCTGTTAGTGGAAGAGAAAAACTTTTTAGAATATAAACAAATAAAAACTATAAAAACTGACACAGAATATAAGTTTATGCTACTATGAAGAAAAAAATCTGGCAGTAACAAATGGACTTGAAACTTTAAGAACAAGAGTTAGACTTTGAATATTCCATATAGTAAAAAAAAAATTGTCCTATTTCTCAATTTTGCAAGTTAATTGTCAGTATATTCCTATTTTGGATAACTTTTTCAGCTCAATGCACTTTTAAGTGCAAAACTCTTGATACTTAAGTGGCGTATTCAACTTTCAACAAACTTTGAAGTAACTGCCCCAGATCACACAGTGAGATGGGTCAAAGCCAAGATTAGAAACCATATCTTCTCCTAATCCAGGAGATCCCACCCATACCATCTAGCTTCCTTTTAACCAGTCAAATTATATAATTCAATATTCCAAGCAAAAGTGATCCTTGAGAAATGAATAAAATATACAAATCTTTAAATGACAAATTAATAGATGAGGGTCAGAGAGAGTAAGATATATGTACCACTATATGTAAAATAGATAAATAAAGATATACTGTATGTACATGGAAATGTATGCAATATCTTTTAATAACCTATAATGGAAAAGAATCTGAAAATGTACATATATGTGTGTGTGTGTGTCTATATATATATATATATATAAAACTGAATCACTTTGCTGTACACCTGAAACTAGCAAATTGTAAATTAACTATACTTCTAGTTTGAAAAAATGGTTTAAAAAACTGGATAAACAAAAAGGAGTATTATCTATGAAGAACCAGTTGATAACAATGTTTAATTAGCAAGAATAAACATTAACATCATAGACTGCTGTCATGATGAAAATGTCCCATAGTTGCATAGTACCATTAGTAGCCACTAGCCACGTGTGGCCACTGAACACTTGAATGTGTGGGTACTATAACTAAATTTTAATTTTAATTAATTTAAATTTAAACAGGTACTTATTGCTAGAGGCTAACCTACTGGATCATGCAAAATAAAAATATTTTAAAAGCATAGCAAGTGGCTCACTAAATCAGAGAAAGCATATTATAATAAAAGGAATCTAAAATAATGTGAGAACACAAATTTATTAAAAAACAATACCTTTATATTCATCAGGATGTTCCTCATACTCCATACAAAATGTGAGAAACTTCATTAGCATTCGCTTTTCTACCATAGTAAGTTGTTTGCTATTAAAGACATCTGCTCTGGAGCAAGGAACCTAAAATATATGATTTAAAAGTTAAGAAACTACTTCCTACTGATACAAGTATTCCAAATGACATTTTTTTCCCCTTTAAGTATAACAAGATTATTACTTCCTTTCTAGTCAGGCTGTTTGATGTTACTTTCCAACAGTTCTAATGGCATCTCTGTTGACTTCAGAGCTAATTAACTTGTGAGTTCCCTTACTTAATTCTGCCAAGTTGCTCCTTATGCTATTAAAAGGCCACCGGCATGGCACCCCTAACTGGGAACAAATGACAGCTCAAATCTAGCAATGTTATCTGAAATTAACACTTTCTCAACATGAGCAGCAAGCTACAGAATAAATTATGAGAAGATTAACATTAGACATTTTAATTGGCAATCTCTTACAATCTACATTTGTTAAAAACCATCAGTTCAGTTCAGTTCAGTTGCTAAGTCCAGTCTGACTCTTTGCAACCCAATGAACCACAGCACGCCAGGCCTCCCTGTCCATCACCAACTCCTGGAGTACACCCAAACCCATGTTCATCACTGAGGTGATGTCATCCAACCATCTCATGCTCTGTCGTCCCCATCTTCTCCTGCCCTCAATCTTTCCCAGCATCAGGCTCTTTTCAAATGAGACAGCTCTTCGCATCAGGTAGCCAAAGTATTGGAGTTTCACCTTCAGCATCAGTCCTTCCAATGAAAATTCAGGACTGATTTACTTTAGGATGGACAGGTTGGATCTCCTTGCAGTCCAAGGGACTCTCAAGAGTCTTCTTCAACACCACAGTTCAAAGCATCAATTCTTCAGCACTCAGCTTTCTTTATAGTCCAAGTCTTACATCCATACATGACCACTGGAAACACCATAGCCTTGACTAGATGGAACTTTGTTGACAAAGTAGTGTCTGCTTTTCAATATGCTGTCTAGGTTGATCACAGCTTTCCTTCCAAGGAGTAAGTTATCTTTTAATTTCATGGCTGCAATCACCATCTGCAGTGATTCTGGAGCCCAAGAAAATAAAGTCAGCCACTGTTTCTACTGTTTCCCCATCTATTTGTCATGAAGTGATAGGACTGGATGCCATGATCTTAGTTTTCTGAATGTTGAGTTTTAAGCTAACTTTTTCACTGTCCTCTTTCACTTTCATCAAGAAGCTCTTTAGTTCTTCTTCACTTTCTGCCATAAGGGTGGTATCATCTGCATAGCTGAGGTTATTGATATTTATCCCACCAATCTTGATTCCAGCTTGTGCTTCCTCCAGCCCAGCATTTCTCATGTACTCAGCACATAAGTTAAATAAGCAGGGTATACTCCTTTTCCTATTTGGAACCAGTCTGTTGTTCCATGTCCAGTTCTAACTGTTGCTTTCTGACCTGCATACAGGTTTCTCATGAGGCAGGTCAGGTAGTCTGGTATTCCCATCTCTTTCAGAATTTTCCACACTTTATTGTGATCCACAAGTCAAAGGCTTTGGTACAGTCAATAAAGCAAAAATAGATGTTTTTCTGGAACTCTCTTGATTTTTCGATGATCCAGCAGATGTTGACAATTTGATCTCTGGTTCCTCTGCCTGTTCTAAAACCAGCTTGAACATCTGGAAGTTCATGGTTCACGTATTGCTGAAGCCTGGCTTGGAGAATTTTAAGCATTACCTTACTAGTGTGTGAGATGAGTGAAACTGTGCAGTAGTTTGAGCATTCTTTGGCATTGCCTTTCTTTGGGATTGGAATGAAAACTGACCTTTTCCAGTCCTGTGGCCACTACTGAGTTTTCCAAATTTGCTGGCATATTGAGTGCAGCACTTTCACAGCATCATCTTTTAGGATTTGAAATAGTTCAACTGGAATTTCATCACCTCCACTAGCTTTGTTCGTAGTGATGCTTTCTAAGGCCAACTTGACTTCACATTCCAGGATATCTGGCTCTAGGTGAGTGATCACACCACCATGATTATCTGGGTTGTGAAGATTTTTTTTGTACAGTTCTTCTGTATATTCTTGCCACCTCTTCTTAATATCTTCTTGCTTCTGTTAGGCCCATAACATTTCTGTCCTTTATTGAGCCCATCTTTGCATGAAATGTTCCCTTGGTATCTCTAATTTTCTTGAAGAGAACTCTAGTCTTTCCCATTCTATTCTTTTCCTCTATTTCTTTGCACTGATCGCTGAGGAAGGCTTTCTTATCTCTCCTTGGTATTCTTTGGAACTCTGAATTCAAATTTGCTGCTTTACCAAGAAAATAACAATCTTATTTGCTTATCCTTCCCAAACAAAATGGGGCTTCCTTTGTGGCTCAGAAGGTAAAGAACACTTCTGCAATGTGGGAGGACCCAGGTTTGATCCCTGGGTTGGGAACATCCTCCAGAGAAGGGAATGGCTACCCACTCCAGTATTCTTGCCTAGAGAATCCCATGACAGAGGAGCCTGGCAGGCTACACTTCAAGGGGTCACAAAGAGTCAGACACTACTAAGCAATTAACATTTTTACTACTAGTTTCCCAAACAAAACATAGCAACTTAAACTCATACTCAGTTGTAATCCTTGCTCAGCACAGTACCTGTTTCACTCTTCCTTCTCGAAAGGCAAGAATCCTGGTAATATTTTTGAACTCTGCATATCGACTAACATTAGATTTGATTAGAAGATCAATCAGCAATCCTCGAGAATACAATAGCTGTACAAAGAAAATATTTTAGAGAATGAAATAAAAGGTGAAATAGTGGAAAAATTGATAAAAACAGAATAAAGATATATAATTTTGCTATATTTTACATTATTTGTAAAAAGTATTCTACCTATTAATATTATAACACATAACATAATTTATTACAGATTCACAACTGATTATCTGACATTCAAAATCCAAATAATTCTGGAATCCAAAGTTTTTTTCACAACTGACCCAAACTGATACAAGGCTCTTACACCTGTTTGTTCTAGTTAATGTGAATATCCATACATATTAATATGTTTAATTATAAAGCACCTCTTCAGACTCTGCTAAGAACATTACATCATATATAAAGTATCAGCCAGCATATATACTGTATTAATTTCTAAAATCCAAGTAACTAATTCAAAATGAAATTTTCAGTACAAAACCTATTTCTTACTTTACTACTTCAGTGTTCTTCTTTTAAAAAAAAAACTCTTTCCTGCTCATGAGGACAAGAAGACTATGGGTGAGCTATGATTAAACTTCCACCCAGAAACTAACTGCCAAGGTAACATGGAAAGAATGGTGAATTTCAAAGGGTGGCAGGATCAAATTAGGTGGAACAGATAGTTCAGAAATATGAGCAAGGACCAAGTCAGTAGCCAACTCAGACCTAGGCAGAGTCAGGCACAGAGACCTACATCAGAAAGAAACAATGAGTAGTAAAAAGATATTCATATTTTCAAGCATCTGGTTCAAATAGATCAGCAGGATGAGGATATTTGATTAGATCAGCAAAATGTGAGGAGCATTAGTTCCTCTCTTTATAACTTGGAACTTCAAGAGAGCACATTAAATTAAAAATCCTAGTCTGATGTTATTCACTACCCTCTCCAACTTCTTTCCAATGTCTCATCATTTGCCCTCAACTCATGGTATTTGGTCTCTCTACTTTTACCCAGTCCTGTATCATAACCTTTTGGGGCCATTATATTTTATCTTACTAGTGTTTTCTCTTCTTTTGCACTAAATTTGCCTTGCTTCCTATAAACCCCGTGCAACATTGTATGCTCCAAAGACTCAGGGACAACCTCTGAATTCATGTTGACCTAACATTAGAGGTAAGAATGGGAAAAAAAAAGAAACTGAAGACAATAGCATCCTTCCCAACCTCCCTGCCCTAATTACTATTAAATTATCTTCCAAAGCCCTCACATCTGAACCAATGATTTTTGAAATGCATCGGTTATTAAAAATGTTCATCATTATATAGATGCCAAAATAGTTACTATATAAATAAGGGCTAAAAAGAAGTTTATTTAATACATTGACCATAATAACATGGACCCGTAATTAGATTCATTAGACTTGTTTTCTTGATAGAATTCATAGTGTCCACGTAATAGGAAAATATTTGGGTGGAGTACATGTTCCAATACAGAAGTAACTCTGTGATACAGCAGTGAGCATTTTTGTGTTTTTAACCTAGGTTTAAAGAATCTTTTAATAGAACTATAAATTTCAGATACCATGTCTTTATAAAATAAATGTTCTACATTTCAGAGAATAAAATAATGAAAATTGGGTTTATGGACTCAGATGTTATTTTCAATCAATTAGAAATTAGTACTGTTGTATGATAAGACGGGCAAAACTGTTACTTACCTTTGATACCAAATCGATATTAAACCTCCTGCCTTCTTTAATGATTTGAGAGTAAGTAATCCGATTTTTCTTTGGCTGTTCTGCTGTGTCTTCAGCCACAGGCACATTTTCACTTGTTTCCTTTTTTGCAGTTGAGGGCACACAAGTTTTATCATCACAGTCGTTTTCTTTTTCCCCTGTCACTTGAACATCATTTACTTCTAGGGGTCTCTCTGGATCACTGCTTGGAGTTTGTTCTGTGTGTATTTCACAGCTTGTAGTGCTTAATGACTCATCTTCTGTAGGCAGGCAGGCAGAATCTGCAGCTTTCGTGGAGTTCACAGATGTCACAGAAGCGTGATTTTTCTGTAGTGCACCAGCTTCTTCAACATCTTCATGCAAATCCTGACTGATGAGAAATTATAATAATAATCTATACCGATAATAAAAGTGATAATTGTACTTGGCTACATTTTTATATCATTTTAACATTTAATGGCAATTTTTATTTCTTTACCTCATTTATTATATCAAATTCAGTGGATGTCTTGCTTTATATGACAAACACATTAAACATCCATCTTTTTAGGTTTTGACACAATATGAAACATATTAAGATCTGAAAAAATATACATAAAGATTTCAGGGATCAGCAGGCATGTCATATGTGTATGTGTATCTGAAAAGCAGATTCTTACTTTTATTTTTTATTTCTGTTTATCTTGGGGTATAGTTGATTTACAATACTGTGTCAATTTCAGGTGTACAACAAAGTGATTCACTTATACATATACATATATTCATTTTTTTCAGATTTTTCCCCATATTACAGACTACTGAGTGCTATACAGTATGTATGTATATATTAATCACATGTATATTTTTTAAGAAGTTAAGGCAGACAGGGGAATTGAACTTTAGAAACAAATCAACACAGTGTTTACAAGCTCTTCCTTCAGAATAAATAGATTGAGGTTCAAACCCAGACTCTACGACTAGATAACTTTGTGAATGTAGACAAATTTATTAATCCTCTCTGACCCAAATTATCCGTCTATAATGTAGAGATAATACCAACTACCTCACCATGTTGTTTTGAAGATTAAATGAGGTATCATATGTGAAGAACCAGGTACAGTGCCTGGCACATAAATGCTCAACAGATTATTACCATTATCTGAGGTGTGACAAAGCTAAAAAACTGCTATAAAAGTGTACGTTGACATATCACAATGTGGTATCTAATAGGATCTTTCTGAATTGATTCTTTCTGTTTTCAATTAATGTCTATTACTTTACTGGAAGCCCCACTTCCAATATTACTACTAGAGTTAACATTCTCAGTTCATTATTGCCTTGATTGACACAAATGGTTCCTGTTCAGTGTGCATCATTATCTTTCCATGATGTGCTTTATCCTCTACAGAACCTACATTTTCATTGAGTTGCCCTACTGTTCAACAATAAACTTGCCTTCTACATGATAGGCTGTGGGAAATAAAATTCTGCTAATTGACTGCTTGAGAACTAACAGCAGTTCTTAAATCAAATTTCAACTCTACCCCTATAAAATCTTCCTCTATCAGTCTCTAAACAAAATCACCTTTTTTATTTACTATCTTTTGTCTCATCTCACCTACTTTCCAACATGGAATCTCTTAAATCCTAATTTGTCAACTCAAAAGTCTCCATAATTAGGCTCATGTTAACTGTTTCTTCAAGATTGCAGGGAGAAATATCAATAACCTTCAGTATGCAGACGACACCACCCTTATGGCAGAAAGTGAACAGGAACTAAGCAGCCTCTTGATGAAAGTGAAAGAGAGTAAAAAAGCTGGCTTAAACTCAACATTCAAAAAACGAAGATCATGGCATCTGGTCCCATCACTTTGTGGCAAACAGATGGGGAAACAATGGAAACAGTGAGAGACTTTATTTTCTTGCACTTCAAAATCACTGCAAATGGTGACTTCAGCCATGAAATTAAGATACTTGCTCCTTGGAAGAAGACCTACGACCAACCTAGACAGCATATTAAAAAGAAGAGACGTTCCTTTGTCGACAAAGGTCCATCTAGTCAAAGCTATGTTTTTTCCAGTAGTCACGTATGGATGTGAGACCTGGACCACAAAGCAGGCTGAGTGCCAAAGAATTTATGCTTTTGAACTGTAGTGTTGGAGAAGTCTTGAGAGTCCCTTGCACTGCAAGGAGATCAAACCAGTCAATTTTAAAGGAGATCAGTCCTGAATATTCATTGGAAGGACTGATGCTGGAGCTGAAGCTCCAATACTTTCACCATCTGATGCTAAGAACTGACACAGTGGGAATGACCTTATGATGGGAAAGACTGAAGGCAGGAAGAGAAGGGTAAGACAGAGGATGAGATGATTGTATGGCGTCACCGACTTAAGAGACATGAGTTTGAGCAAGCTCCAGGAGTTGGTGATGGACATGGAAGCCTGGTGTGCTGCAGTCCATGTGGTCACAGAGTTGAACATGTCTCAGTGAAATGAACCAAACTGTTTCTTTTGGTCTGTTCTTCCCACTTCCCATAATATCACAAATCCCTCATTCCCAAAAATAATTACATACCGCAGCAATTAAGAAAATGTCTAAATTTCACTTTGAAGAAGTGTTCCTTAATCCAACCACAATCATCATTATGCTACTCCATGTACCACAGTACACACGTGTGGTTTCAAACAGTCCTTTGCTTTATTTTCAACTTTTACTTTATCTTCAACTAGACTTTCATTTCCTTAAGGGAAGAGCCTAACATATATTCTTCTGTGCCTCTCACAATACCTACTGTACTTCACTATAGATGTGATATTTAGTAAACACATGATGAATAAATGTTTCACACATGCAAAAGATGGAGGTATAAATATATTATCAAAAAATTTATAAACCAAACAAACATGTGTAAAAAACACAAACAACAAGGCAAAGAAAGAACAATAGTCTTTAAAAAGTCTGGGTTCATTGAACAAAAAGTGCCCCATTAAAATTGACACATTAAGCACTACAATAAGAAAGGTACAAGTAAAGAATAACATTTTAAATGTCAAGAAATAAAATATCAAAAATTAGGGCAGAAATAAATGCAAAAGAAACAAAAGAGACCACAGCAAAAACCAACAAAGCCAAAAGCTGGTTCTTTGAGAAGATAAATAAAATTGACAAACCATTAGCCAGACTCATCAAGAAACAAAGGGAGAAAAATCAAATCAACAAAAATAGAAATGAAAAAGGCGAAGTCACAACAGACAACACAGAAATACAACAGATCGTAAGAAACTACTATCAGCAGCTGTATGCCAATAAAATGAACAACTTGGAAGAAATGGACAAATTCTTAGAAAAGTATAACTTTCCAAAACTAAACCAGGAAGAAATAGAAAATATTAACAGATCCATCACAAGCATGAAAATTGAAACTGTAATCAGAAAACTTACAGCAAACAAAAGCCCAGGACCAGACGGCTTCACAGATGAATTCTACCAAAAATTTAGAGAAGAGCTAACACCTATCCTACTCAAACTCTTCCAGAAAACTGCAGAGGAAGGTAAACTTTCAAACTCATTCTATGAGGCCGCCATCACCCTAATACCAAAACCAGACAAAGATGCCACAAAACAAAGAAAACTACAGGCCAATATCAATGATGAACACAGATGCAAAAATCCTTAAAAAAATTCTAGCAAACAGAATCCAACAACATATTAAAAAAATCATACATCATGACCAAGTGGGCTTTATCCCAGGAATGCAAGGATTCTTCAATATCCTCAAATCAATCAATGTAATACACCACACTAGCAAATTGAAAGATAAAACCCATATGATTATCTCAATAGATGCAGAAAAAGCCTTTGAAAAAATTCAAGATCCATTTATGATAAAAACACTCCAGAAAGCAGGAATAGAAAGAACATACTTCGACCTAATAAAAGCTCTATATGACAAACCCACAAACTTTATCCTCAGTGGTGAAAAATTGAAAGCATTTCCCCTAAAATCAGGAAGAAGACAAGGGTATCCACTCTCACCAGTACTATTCAAGATTGTTTTGGAAGTTTTGGCCACAGCAATCAGAGCAGAAAAAGAAATAAAAGAATCCAGATTGGAAAAGAAGAAGTAAAACTCTCACTGTCTGCAGATGACATGATCCTCTACATAGAAAACCCTAAAGACTCCACCAGAAAATTACTAGAGATAATCAATGAATACAGTAAAGTTTCAGGATATAAAATTAACACACAGAAATCCCTTGCATTCCTATACACTAACAATGAGAACACAGAAAAACAAATTAAGGAAACAATTCCATTCATGATTGCAATGAAAAGAATAAAGTACTTAGGAATATATCTGCCTAAAAAAACAAAAGACCTATATACAGAAAATAATAAAACACTGGTGAAAGAAATCAAAGAGAATACAAATAGATGGAGAAATATACCGTCTTCATGGATCAGAAGAATCAATATAGTGAAAATGAGTATACTAACCAAAGCAATCTATAGATTCCTTGCAATCCCTATCAAGCTACCAACTGTATTTTTCAGAGAGCTAGAACAAATAATTTCACAATTTGTATGGAAATACAAAAAAAATCTCGAATAGCCAAAGCAATCTTGAGAAAGAAGAATGGAAATGGAGGAATCAACCTGCCTGACTTCAGTCTCTACGACAAACCAGTCATCAATACAGTATGGTACTGGCACAAAGACAGAAATATAGATCAATGGAACAAAACAGAAAGCCCAGGGGCAAATCCATGCACCTATAGATACCTTATCTTCGACAAAGGTGTATGCCCACTGCTGGGCATACACACCGACAAAACCAGAACTGAAGGAGACACGTGTACCCCAATGTTCATCACAGCACTGTTTATAATAGCCAGGAAATGGAAGACACCTAGATGTCCATCAGCAGACAAACAGATAAGAAAGCTGTGCTACATATATACAATAGAACTTTACTCAGCCATTAAAAAAAAGTCATTTGAATCAGTTCTAATGAGGTGGATGAAACTGGAGCCTATTATACAGAGTGAAGTAAGTCAGAAAGAAAAACACCAATACAGTATACTAATGCACATAGATGGAATTTAGAAAGATGATAATGATAACCCTGTAGGTGAGACAGCAAAAGAGACACAGATGTATAGAACAGTCTTTTGGACTCTGTGGGAAAGGGCGAGGATGGGATGGTTTGGGAGAATGGCATTGAAACATGTATATTATCATATATGAAATGAATTGCCAGTCCGGGTTTGATGCATGTTACAGGGTCCTCGGGCTTGTGCACTGGGATGACCCAGAAGGATGGGATGGGGAGGGAGGTGGGAAGGGGGTTCAGGATGGGGAACACATGTACACCCATGGCAGATTCATTTC